TCTTTCTTTCTTTCTTTCTTTCTTTCTTTCTTTCTTTCTTTCTTTCTCTTTCTCTCTCTCTCTCTCTCTCTCTTTCTCTCTCTCTGTTTATTTTTATTGAGATGGGATCTTGCCACATAGCCCAGGATGTCCTTAGTATGTAGCTGAGCTTGGCCTTGAATTTGTAGTGGTCCACCTGCCTAAGCCTCCCAAGTGCTGGGATTGCAGGCATAACTCTAGCTGGCTGAGGGCTTCTGTTTCTCCATTTTCTTGCTGACATTTGTTACTGCCTGTCTTTATTTTAGTGCTGTGGTATGTATAAAGAGGTACTTTGTTCTGGTTTAATTTGCATTTTCCTCATGACTGTCTATTTGCATATCTTCTCAAGGAAAATGTCAATTTCTATGTTCTAGTTAACCTTTTATTGTGGGCTTCTTGGTGAATATTTCCTCTCGCTTTGTACTATTTTCTTTTGGGGTAATGCCCTTTTTTATATTCAATTTCTTTCTCTTTCATTGTTTGTGAAGACTCAAAAACACTTAGGTCTTATGTTGATGAGATTCTCTGGTTCTGTTTTTATGCATCTTGAGGGGAACTAGCCCAATGCCATTGTCATTCTTTCGTATATGATTTCTGGTTGTCCTAACATTACTCATTGAATGACATTAGTAAGTGCCATTACTTTGTTGTCCCCAAGATGGAAGCCAGAGGCTCACTGTGGTTGGATAAATAGCAGGCAGGCAGAACCTTCTTGAGTACTGTGTGGATTTTAAAGTTTCCTACAAACTACTTGGGGTCCTTTTGATCTCATAAATGTAAATTGGAATTCTCATAGAGACATTTTCTCTAAACTTCTAAATTTTGACCTGAACTTGGTCCATTTATAAAGTTCTGTTTCTGCTTTGCAACATTTTGGAATCACATACTGGGTCAATAAAAGCTTTGACTTTAACTTCAACTTCCTGTAACGTACTCTTCTCCGCTTGATTTCTTGCCCCCTCCCTCCCTTTCTCTCACCTTCCATCCTTTCTTGCCTCTGGCCTTTCTTTTCTTTGTTGGGAGGACAAGGTCTCACTCTACAACCCAGGCTTGTCTTGAACTCATGACCTCCCTGTCACTGTCACTTACTGTGTGAAGTCAGGCATGCACCTGTTTTCCCTGTGTTATCATCCTTTAAAGTTACTTGAATTAATTAATTTATTTATTTTATGTGAATGGGTGTTTTGCCTGCATGCATGTACGTGCACAACATATGTGCCTGAGGAAGACAGAAGAGGGCGGATCCACTGAGTCTGGGATTAGTGATGGTTTTAAGCTGCCATGTGGGTGCTGGAAGTTGAATCCAGATCCCCTGAAAGAGTAGCAATGCTCTTAACCACTGAGCCATCTGTCCAACCTCTTATTGTGATTTCTTGAACATGCATATTAGGTGCCACAAAGAGCTATCCTTATTTCACTGAATGCGTTATACACCCAAGTCCTCTACATAGCATCTACAGTTTTCTCTTTCTCTTTAGATAATTTTTGGGGACACAGAAAGATCCTATAGAAGAAGAAACGATTATTTACTTGGTAAGTTGATCTTTGTTACCTTTAATATTATTTGTTTTTCCTTCATACAACTTCATATTACAGTTCTCTGGGAATCATTTAAAGCTGGATATGTCTAGTTTTTCTACAGATTGTTTTGAACAATTAGAGTCATTACAGAAAGCAAACCCTTTATATAAATATAAGTATTTATATACATTTATATCTGTTCCTTTTTATCTCACTGGCTAATGATGTAACCATTGGCTTAAGCATTTCTACCGAGTTCTCCGTACAGGATCGCACTCAGTGGTCCTGACATTTCTGTGGGCTGGCAGGGCCAACATCAGTTTCTCCTTGTTCTAGTCTGCTTCTACTGCTGTGATAAAATACCACAACCAAAAGCAGGTTGGGGAGGAAAGGGCTTATTTGACTTACACATCTTGTCTTAACCATGGTCCATCATGAAGGGAACTGAAGGCAGGAACCTGGAGGCAGGAACTGAAGCAGAGGCCATGGAGGAATGCTGCTTACTGGCTCGCTCACTATAGCTGGCTCAGCCTGATTTCTAATACAACGCAGGACCACTACAGTGGGCTGAGCCTCCCGTGTCAATCATTATTTGAGAAAATGTCCCACAGACTTGTGTATAGGCCAAGCTGGTAGGAGCATTTTCTCAGTCGAGGTTTTCTCTCTTCAGATGACTTAACTTACATCAAGTTGACCAAAACAAGTTAGCATACACATTAAGAGGACATCATACTTAAACATGCTTGTTCTTTCCTCTTGCACCATCTAAGTTGTAGGGTCTAGTGTGTGATTAATCAGGGTGGACTCAGCTGTTTCCAGTCATGTGACGCAGTATGTCACTGTCTCTCATGGTGTCTTGGTTGGATGATAAAAACGTCATCACTTGACCATTTGGAAGCCATTTTTGTGTTTCTGATGAGTCTTCCTAGTGGTGTTAAGGTTAGAAAGATTCTCTGCTGTCAAACGCCGCTCCTCTGTTTAAGGAGTATATTCACATTATCAGTTCTACACTTATAGCATTCTCTGGTGTAGGTAGAGAGGTCTGGCCTGATGATTGTTAATGTGTTACAGGTTTTCTTTCTGATGAATCCAGAAGTGAACAATTCTATGACCGGTCACTTGGTAAGTGATCTGTTTCCTTCTAGTAACTTTGCTGATTAGCAGGGTCCACACTGAAGCCATTGCATAGGGGATAAAAATCATTTCAACAAACAAGAACATTAATGCATACACTTGTTTTGCAAACCATGAGAAGATAACTTGGAGGCCCTAGCTCATGGAAAAGTTGCCAGAAATCAAATGTTAAGAAAGCAAATGTTAATCAAAATAGGAAGTCACCACCAGCTTTTCTTCTTGCCCCACCTGGAGCATTTTCTGGGCTACCTTCCCTTTGACTATTTCCCTCCTTTACTAGATTTGCCCAGACTTCTCAGGAAATGGAAGAGATTGGGACTTTAGTCCCTTCTCTATACTTTCAGTTTTTTTATTCAGTCTTCTGGGTGACTCTGTCAGCCCTGTGTTCTCCGCTTTTATTCAGAAGAGTTGAGTATTTTAAACACTTGGTGTCAATTGGGAAACATGGAGTACATATTCACACCCACTGCTTACCAAGGCTTTCTCCTTTGGCCTTCAACCACCAGGCTGTGGCTGCACTGTGTCTCTCCCTACCCCCAACACACACACACACACACACACACACACACACACACACACACACACA